ATATATATATATATATATATATATATATATATATATATATATATATATATATATATATATATATATATATATATATATATATATATATATTGGCAACTCATCTAAACAACAGAGGTTATTTTATTTTATTTTTAGTTCATTGAAAGTTCATATTGTTAAGGAAAAAAACATTTTTCTTTCTGTTTTGTTTTCTTTCTATTCTAATTAAAAATATATTAATGTTAATATTAACAAAACATATTTATTATTATTATCATTATTTTTAATATAGACATTCCATAGTATTTTACAAAATATTCAATATCGTATTTGTATTAAGTTGCTCTTCACGGAAACAGAAAAAACACACTATATGTATCATAAAATTAGTCCATTAATGAAGCAAGAATCAATAATTTTCATGATATTTAAAAGAACATTATTTACTTAAACAATCTATTGGCACATTTTAATCAGTAGTAATTAATGCTATTTAAGTAGATAGATTGAATTTATCCATTTTAACTAAAATAAATCATAATAAAATATGAACACCAGTAATATTTAACATATTAAGATATTTTAAAGTATTGATAAAATATACTATAATATGTAAAGTAGTAATTTTCAGAGTTTATACAACATATTCATTTGTATAAATTTTATATTGAAATTAGAATTAAATGTATAACGATGAACAAAATTAATTACAATCAATGCAATTCATTCACATATATAAACATTCATATAAAATTACGAAAGATCAAACTATAGAAAGATAATAACAGGTAGGATTTATAAAAGTTGATCTATTTAAGCTGCAAGAATTCATGATATGAAAAAGGTAGAAAATAAATGTTTCCTTCATCATTCTTTTATTTTCGGTTCTTTACAACTTCATTTTTATACATACTGAGCTTAATCATGGATAAATTTGTGACTTTTTTTTCTTGAAATTAGCAAACTAAAATAACCAAGAAATTTATTTTCAGTCTTCAAGGGGATGCTAGTGATTTTGTTGAAGATATCAACGATCTGCATATTATGCATTGAAGTCGATTAATAAAGTGTATTCAATATTTCTCAATACTTTAAAAAGAGCAACAATATAATCTTTTACTAGGTTACAGTACAAAAACTAAATTGCTCTTACCTTCTCATAAAGAGTTCATCATCTTTGCTCTTATGGTACTTGTAAAAGAATCGTTAGTGAGTAGAAAAATGTACACACAAAAATCAAACGTTTACAAAAGTTTACGGTTAAGTGTTCAATGATTTTTAATAATTATGTTATTTTCTGACCTCAGATGAATATACTTTTGATCAATTGCTAAATAAATGAAATGGGTAACAAAAATGATAATGATACATTTTGTGTATTTGAAATAATATGACGAAATAGTACTAATTCCAATAAGTCTAGAATTTCAACAAGACACAATCAAGAAGTCAAATTTGATGTACGCGTACCAAATTGTATGATGTATTTACGATAGGTTCAAGCACAAAAGAAACATTTAGCTTCACAATAAATATATTGGTGATTTACCACACCTTCCTTTACACAAATTGAGTTATAAGAACTTTTTTAATGAAACATATTCATAACATAGCCATTATTATTATTAGTGACTTTATTCAATAGTATATTTTTGGTGAAATATAGGATTCACAGCACAAGGTATTTTAATAAGTTATTTTACAGAGAAGGAACGAAAAAGGTGAAAGAAACCGGTAGCTGTATACATACATAAGTTAAATAGATAAACTACCTGTAAATCAATGAATTGTTTTTCAAGAAGATTTGAACCTGTACAACATTTTCAATTAGAAACATGTTTAGGAATACAAGGTATTGACCAAGTCAACTCTAACGACCTGTCCGTCACATAACATATTTGCTAGACATGATATTGTAGAGCTTGTATATTTTTGCTTGCGTGAATATATTCCAATGTATTGACGTCTCGTTCTACCAGACGATTCACAAGGAGACAGATATGAGGGAAGTGGATGGTTGATATCTGATAAGATAACACCTCTCAGGACTTTACCAGACTTAAAATGTCTATCCACAACAATAATAATAATGACCTCAAAAGATTCACCACATACCCTGCTAATGGTGTTCAGCACTCCCGGCAATACGGCAAACTTTTCTGCAAATCCTAGAAAAGAAAAATGGAGAACAGTGTAGAAAATTAGGTAGTATGCAAGAATCGACAAATTGTAAGAGTAAATGTCATGTAATCCTAAAAGCATGCAGCCTCATTATGTAGCATGTCAAACGGAAAACTTTCTTTAATAATAATAAAACATTTATGATGAAACACGACAAACGCTCTTAGATATTCTCAAAGAACCTAACAAATCAATTAGTTAATTTCAAGTGACTGCATTATAAGTTGCATAAACTTGGTATATAATTGATACTATGACTGAAAAACAGTAATCTAGCACCAGTATGTCACTTGTTAAAGTTCTGTTGAAATCTTGCTCAATTATTAAATATGAATGCTTACTTTCTATTTAATAAAACATTATACACAAAGATAGAGAAATATACCAGAGCTTAATTCTTATGGTGTTAGAGTACCTTAACATGAAAACAAGTAAAAACACATCAATTTTAGAGAGGGTTTAAAGCAATATAACACCTGTTGCCACTCAATATATAGACAAGATATTAGTTCTGTGCAACACAATGTTGACCGATTTCTGTTGATCAAATTACAAAATGCTCACTAGTTTAAATAACTCGATATGGCAAACACTATGCTGAGATGCTAAGTGATGGTACTTTCGTGCTCAAAAGGTAAATACAGACAATTTTTTAGTTACAAAGTAACTGCACTTTCATGTATTTTTAATTGTGTGATACTTTATTGTATTTCCCTAGTTAATTCATTCATACGATTTGGTTTTCACTTAACACTTCTCAGCTTGATGAAATAGCCTATTATGCTAGGAATGTTGCAATACTTTCATTGTACTTAATGATCAATAACAAGCAAAATACCTGCTGAACCTTTACAACTACGCTCATAATAACATTCGATTACCATGGAACGTGAAAAGGATGGCAAGTTCCATTTTTTCGATATTGACATACAACGGAGAGAGGACGGTATAGTTCAGCGTTCAGTTTATCGAAAATATGATGTTTATTTGAGTTTTAACACCTTATGTACGGTCAGTTACAAAACTGCATTGATCAAAACACTATTTCACAGAATGGAAAGGATATGTACTACTGATACACTAGAAGCAGAATTAAAGAATGTGAAAGAATGCCCAAAGGATCATAGATGTCCAAAGGAATTTACATAGGAATATGGGAAAAGTAGGGACAAAACGCCTTAAGAAGCCATAGTAGAGAAGAAACATGTTTTCTTTCAACTTAAAGATGATGATGTTGCAGCAACAATAAACAGAATATTAAAAAGCACACTGATAAGGACTTATCCCTCAGTCAAGCTGACTGTCTTGTATAAAACAATATATTCTTGACTTTAGTCGCAGATGTATTGATACCTCTTACATGTTACCGTCAATTGTGTATATAAATTAACGTGTACCTGCCAGATGAGCCACACTTGTAGAACAGTAAGAAGGGCCTACGTTCGATTCCAAAGATATATGCCAAAACGTCTCAGGTTAATGGGATTTAAGGCTTCTACCACTGTCATTAAAAACATCTCTATGACTCAGGACATCAAGTTGACAGACTAAAGTCTTTCAGCATCACCAATCGACAGTCTAATGCTTTCCTCAAATTTATCAAAGCCATAAACATTTAACGACTGAAGCCGGACTAATGTATTTAAAAGAACACAGTTGAGAACTCACCCTAACCATGGTGATTTTTTCGTCATTTTACTACATCATGTTTTGCACTTTTCTTATCTCCCCTGTTTCAATTACATCACTTATTTCGAAGTCATAATCTTGTCATTTATTTTTTAACTGACTGATCTCCACTCATGTTATGCGCACTGCTGAGGAGTCCCATACTAGAACTAAATGGCCGTACAGTGCTTCCAGGTTTCCTATGATAGTCTAGCTTCAACTGACTTATGATCTCAACCATTGAGATAACATTTTATTTTATTATCCTTCATCGCCTTTCAAATGCATCATATGTTCACAATTACTGAATTCGAACTGTAGGTTATAATTTAACTATTTTATCCACTATTTAGTATTAATGCCATTGGCTAAATTTTCTAACTATTACTTGTCACGGATGGAAGATGTTATTGATTTTGATAAGTATCCATAATTTAGTGTGAATTCATTTGATTCAATAAATTTCGTTGATCCTTTTTTGTTCAGACGAAAAGAGAATTATCGAAATGGAGATTTATGGAGTTATAGCAATTTTAATAGTTGAATTCATGAGTCCATATTAACCTAGAACATCAGTGGAAACTTGGAAGCATTGAACTAGCATTGGACTCCTCCTCAAATCCTCATTCTGATAATAATCATGTGCTCACTAGTGACCAGATTCAGTATGGATTTCCTTAAGTTCTAGTAAATAACCGTAACCAGCGGAGTCTAGTCAATGTTGGATGGATACAGTTATCTACCTCAGATAATGGACGAAGTGTTACGCGAGATCATGGATCGATCGAAGTTAGACATTAACATCGTTGGATACCGATCCAGTGGTTTGGGGATTAAGCGCTTGAGTGCGAGATCGAAGGTTCTGGTTTCCGGTTCCACATGAGGTATAGTGAATGTACACTACTAAGGCGTTCCATACTAGGACGAAATGGCTATCCAGTGCTTTCAGATTTTTAATGGTGGTCTAGCTTAAATCGACTCATGAGTTTAACTAATAAAAAAATAAGGATTACAATATTCAGTTAGACGGCTTGGATGGATATTTAACATCTACGCAGTATAGAAATGTGTACAAACTTTTATGGATTCATAAACAAAATCTATCTGTTTTCCAATAAAAAAACAATTGATATTAGGTTTCGTAATTGATTGTTCCATGAAATCAAAACATAAAGAAATTTCTCATGTATTATCATTTTTTTATAAATCTGAATGTAAATGGTACAAATGATGGAAAAATAAAGTTTCAAACTATTTATTAATGAAAACAGATTCAGGAAATACTTATAATTACAGTTTAAAGTAAAAGAAATATTTATTGTTATATGGAATATTTCTTTTAAAGGCGTGTTTGCACAGTATTACTTGAGTTAAATACATTCATTTCTTCTACATCAATTTCATCACCTTGAAAATCATCTTTATTAACATAAGTAGATGGATTGTATGGATCACAACCATGAGATCTTTTTAGAGCTCCACTCAATAAGTTTGTTCGATATAGAATCCAATTTAATATCAATAGACCAATCAGTAAAATTAACCACTTGAAAAGGTAAAATTAAAAAAAAGGTACTTGACAAGTGAAAAATTTATTTCAATAGTTGAGATCTTGAGTCAGTTGAAGCTAGATCAACATGAGAAAACCGGAAGCACTGGATAGCCATTTCGTCCTAGTATGGAACGCCTTAGTAGTGTACATTCACTATACCTCATGTGGAACCGGAAACCAGAACCTTCGATCTCGCACTCAAGCGCTTAATCCCCAAACCGCTGGATCGGTATCCAATGATGTTAATGTCTAACTTCGATCGATCCATGATCTCGCGTAACACTTCGTCCATTATCTGAGGTAGATAACTGTATCCATCCAACATTGACTAGACTCCGCTGGTTACGGTTATTTACTAGAACTTAAGGAAATCCATACTGAATCTGGTCACTAGTGAGCACATGATTATTATTAGAATGAAGGTTTCATCCTATTATGGGAATTCTCAGCAGTGTGCATCCACAATCCCGCCTCGCGAGCGAACGCTTATCCATTAAACCACTGAGCTGGCATCCAATGGTGTTAATTTCTAACTTCAACTAATCCACAAAATTGAGTGACACATCCACAATTGGACGAAATGACCGCCCAGTGCTTCCAGGTTTTACATGATGGTCTAGCTTCAATTGATTTATGATTTCAACTATCGAAATTATTAAAATATCCATAAAAAATCCCTTCTAAAAAATTTATTGACAATTTGTTTTTCTTTCATTTTGAAGGAAAGCATGTTTTATAGAGATTTTATGTTATTTGTGAATATATTTCTAGTTAAAAGTAGAAAGCACTGAATAACCAATAGGTAGTTATTAAATACATTAAAACTGCCGTATATTTGAGGGATTTAAAATATGATGTGAAAAGATGATTTATTACCATAAAGAATGACATAACATAACCATAAACGTTCTTAAGTTGTATTATTTAGAATTATTTACTTCATAAAAAGCTGAAAATATGTGTTAGCTGACTTTTGAATGAGCTAAACGTGGTTGAATTTGTAACAGTATACAAGAATTGAAATCATTCATACAATATTTTCGTCAGTTTAACCATCCAATAGAAATAATTTAGTAATATGAAACTAAAACTGAACAACTGATGTACATTGTCTACCAAGATCATGTCGTGAGACTAAAATTTATGGACGACATTTGAGCGACGCCAAAGTGACCTTGAGAGTGTTCAATTAATAACTAAGATCAAATGAGGGTTATAGATAAGTGTGAGAAATTAGAGTTATGATTTACAGCTGATGGTAAGGGTTAGGAATTAGGTTTAGGGTTTTCATCACGAACTGATATCGGCTATAATGCCAAACCTCTATTTAGCCATATGGATGAATTAATTTCGCGCCAAAATCCGAGACCTGTTATTTTATATCTGATTGTTTCGTTCATAAGTTATAGTTATAAACCTTACACAATTCAACACAAAATGTGGTAATATATGAACGTTCACTATAAAGTATTACTTAATCAAGTATTAATAAATCCATCATACTTACTTACTCCTGTTACTCATAGTAGAGGAGCATAGGCCGCCAAACAGCACTCACCATCCAACCCTGTCCTAACCAGTTCTTTGCAGCTCTTTCCAGTTGTCATTCATCCTTTTCATATCCGCTTCCATTTCCCGACGTAATTTGTTCCTTCTTCTTCCTCTTCTTCTTTTCCACTTCCCTTCAGAATTCCTGGTTGGGGCTTGCCTCGTGATGCAGTTTGGTGATTTCCGTAATGTATGTCCTATCCACTTCCAACGTTTTTTCCAAATTTCGTCTTCAGCTGGAAGCTGGTTTGTCCTCTCCAACAGAATGCTGTTGCTGATGGCATCCGGTCAATGGATGTTGAGTATCTTGCGTAGACAGCCATATATAAATACTTGCACCTTCTTGATGATGGTTGTAGTGGTTCTCCAAGTTTCAGCTCCATACAGTAGAACTGACGGTGTTGACGTTCGTATTGAAGATTGTGACTTTGATATTGGTTGATGGTTGTTCTGAGTTCCATATGTTTTTCGAATATAGGAATGCTGTCCTTGTTTTTCTAATCCTCGCCTTTACGTCTGCATCCTATCCTCCTTTTTCATCGTTGATGCTGTCCAAGTACGCGAAGGATTACAGATCGTCTAGAGTTTTGCCATCGAGCGTGATTGGGTTGGCATTCTTCACGATACTACTATTAATAAATCAATGATTTTAATTAAGTTTTTGATTAGCGAACAGTTTTATCGGATACAAACACAGTAGGCCATTTATTTTAGAGAGTTTAATTTGTCTGGAATGGTTTATTTTGTTGTAAATTCTTTACTGATTACTTCTTTAACATATATTTTACATACAGTTATATTATTCAAATCCATTATAAAATGATTATAAGAAAGAAATTGTAGCCTACTTCTAATAATGTTGTCGATAAAGTATCCCAAGTTAAAATATACCAAGTTGGATCTGTTGTGACAGATTCATATATCCACCATATAATTAATATGATTGATTGTAAAGGCACCAAAACTCTGAAAAGTGATCAGTTTGGGAAACGAATTTAAACTAAATGTTTTTTTAAAAATGTAACAATAAAAACAGAATAATGTGAAACTATTTTCTTAAAATCGGATAATGATGTGATTATAAATTGCTATAAAGACAATGATTTCATAAGTAATTTGAAAGAACATTCAAGTATGGTATATGCTACTCATGTTTGCAGATATAAGTAGTACGTAATATCAAGTGCAATGTCTGAGACCAGAAGGCTAAAAAGATTGGAATCAAAAGAAAAGCGAAGGAAACTGAGAGCAATCAAGATAACAACAGGAATGAAGAATGTATGAAACTTATAAAAAACACTTCAAATAAGATATACAAATGATATATTTGATGTATGATTTTCACAATTTACTAAACAATGATGAATTTCGATTTGATTAACAAAAGAAAATTTTTATATTCTTTAATAAGTACTATTTCATCGTCCCCTTGCTTTTTATCAATACACTTTAATTTGATAATATCCATATGAGTAAAAATATTTGTTGTTATTGAATACAATATTTAATGTAAGTTGAGGAATTATCACCGTTTCCTTAGGACCTATGTAGAAGTCATAGTTTTTATTACCGAAAGAATAATTTTCAGCGACATTGTGATTACCTTGTAAGGTCTTGTTGAAAGATACCTCTAAAAAACTTGTAGAATGTCCTTTCATATATAGTATATATTTTAAATATCATAGGTTGTAAGCAGCTGATGAGAACCAAATGAAATAAAATGAATTCCTGCTATTCTGCTAGAATCATTGTTCTTGTTCTTTTCAAAATAATAAAGGGAACTTTGTGTATGAAATAAACAATTTATATCATTTTGTTTTCTTTAAGGGACCTATATTTATTGTCATATCCTTTTATCATCCCATATGTTTTAATTTCTTAATGTCATTTGAAATACAGATTTTTGTGCAATTGAATTAAACCTGCTTGTCTTATATCTAAATATTTTTTTTTATAATTTCAACATGAAGTGACTGTATTTTCAGACTGGTATTTCTTTTAGCACTAATCAATTAGAATGCTTAGACTGATTAAACAAATTAAGATAGAACTCACGCAATTACTGGAATCCAAATAACACTCAAGTTACAATCATTTATTCCATAGTCATTTATTAGAACACGTCTGTATCGATTCGGTCCGTAAACAATAACAACTAGACAGAATAAAAATCCAGATACTATAAGACCATAGCCCCATGTATTATCCTAAATGCAATTAACAAAATAATGAAATAAACGATCATATATCATAATTATGTTGAAATGTTTTTTTTAAGAACTTGAATCAATAAACTCACTTACTTGATTTGTAAGAAACTCCAGTTTAATTGCAGATGGAAGACCAATAATCATTGAAGCTAATAAAGCAATTCCAACTGCTAGTCGATGTGGTACTGTTAATGAAAGTAATATTATCAAACATGAAATTTAAAATTTAACTAAATGTATAATTTGTGTATATGAAGATTACTAAAGCTTTGGATAATCTGATAGTTTAGTATTAATTAGTTAATAAATTAATTTAGTCATGATAACAACTATCCAATCCAATCTATACATTTCAGGTTTACTAATTAAACTTCGAAACGTCACATCATCAAGATATTGAAAGTTTTCTAAATAAATGAAATCTTTGCTGACTGCCGTCTAATCATCAAAATTTTCTGGAGTAGGATTATGTATAAGTAATGTAATATGTATTAACAATCATTAACTGTTTTTTTTGTTGGGAATGGTTTGTGAACTGATTATAACTACTCCAATTACCTCATGAGTGTACTAGTTAACATAATTACGTTATTTAAGATAAATTATGAATATACAAAATATAGTTGAAGAACTGTAGTCTAGAATTCAATGGGAAATTACCTAGAATTTATAACTCAGAAGACAACATTTAAGCATTATTCGTAGCTTACGGGTGCATTAAAATGTTGGATTTTTGATTCAAATCTTTTTGAACAAAAACGTCTTTTCTACCCGACCATTTGATTGTATTGGCTTAAAATCTAAGCTTGAGAGTTCATTATACTTTTTATGAATGGAATTTAAGTAAGATATCGGCTTAGCGATAAATAGTATTTATTGATGGAGATTATAGTAATATTGTCATTGAAGAAATCGTTTGAAAACAATTCATCTCAAAATCACTCATTTACATAGTTTGATTCTACACGCAAATACATGTTTGTTATTCAACATATAGAAGCTTCATAGTAATTGTCAAAATTTGAATGAAATTTACCATAAATGTGTGTTATTAACTAAAATGACCAATTCATATTTCTAATATATATCAGTTGTAAGTAATATAGAAATTTAATTAATTTTAGACTAGGCTTTCTTTATGATTAGTTAAATTATTGTGAATTTGTTGATTAAAACACATGAGTTTTTTAATAGTTCAGTAAATCAAATTAAAACTCTATGTATATTGTATATAGATAAAGAAACGCTATAAATGGATTTAAATAGTTTTATCACAGGGGGTTTAGTGGATATTATAGTAATTTAATAGTTGAATTCATGAGTCAATTGAAGATAGACCACTTTAGAAAACCTGAAAGCACTGGATGGCCGTTACGTCCAAATATGGGACTCCTCATCAGTAAGCATCACGATCCTGCCCTGCGAGATCCGAACCCAGAACCTATCGGCCTCGCGCCTGAACACTTAACATCTAAACCATTGAGTCTGCATCCAACGTTGTTAATATTTAATTTCAACCAGTCCACGAAATTGAGTCATCGTCCACCATTGTCTTCAGTGGTCTAAGGGGCTGATCGTTCGCTCGCGAGACGGAGGTGCTGGGTTCAAATCTGACGAGCAGGATAGTAGATACGCACTGCTGAGGAGTCTCATACTAGGCCGAAAAGGCTGTTCAGCGCTTCCTGGTTTTGCATAGCAGTCTAGCTTCAATTGCTTCATGAATGCAAGTTTAAATAATTTTGTCAAAATATTCATTTCAAAAAAAAGATAGTTCGTGACAATCATGAGAATATATTTGAAATAGATAAAAAAAAAGAAAGTTGGAAGATCATTTTAAATTACATAGACTATATTTAACTTAGATGTTACATAAGTTACTTATTTATTTTCCTATTAACACTACTTAATTACTTACTTACACCTATTACCCTTTGTGAAGGAGCATCGGTCACTCACCAACACTCTATTAACACTACATATTCTTAAAGAAATATATTATAACCAGAAGAAATGTCAATTTGTCAGGTGATTTTATAGAAACATTCTTTTATATAAAAATAGTTATATGCTTAAATAGTTACAATGTTTTGTTGAAATTCTTATGTAAACATAAAACATTCAATGTTGTTTTATTATAGAAATGTTATCATTTAACTAATTGCTTTAAACCAATATGTTATACAATAAGATCAAAACTAATCATAAAGTTATTACGTTTAGTATGTTTTTATTTATTTATTCTGTTTTATAAATTAATCCATATTTTGTCTTAAATGAATAACTTACCATTAAAATCTTTCATAGCAAGAACATGTACTTGAGTTAATGATAATAATGAACTAATTCCAGCAAATACAAGACATAAAAAGAATAAGGCACATAAAACTCGACCAAATACACCAACTTTTGAAAATAGTACAGGTATCCTGAAATGAGAAAAAAATATATTAGAGATTCATTTAATTGTTTACATTTAATAAGGATATGTGCTATGATATTGTTTTAAAGAATGATGGTCTAAGGTTAATATATATATATATATATATGATAATGTCAATTTTATTCATTTTCAATAAATTGATCTAAGTTGTTCTATATTTTCTGTTCTTAGTACTGAAGTATTTTTTATCACTAATGTAATGAGAAAGTAAATTATTCGAAAGTTTATTTAGTTAGAAGATAATGTCACTTTATGTAATTCATTACCATTTGATTCATTTCATTTCAGTTATTTCATATTTTCTATACTTAAACACGATGTGGGAGTTACATTTTTCACTTACATTAAAATGATAATTAAGAGATAATGTAAATCGTAAATGTAAAGAAAATCTAATATAAGTATATCTTTATAAAAGTATTCCACGCATTAAATTCCCTTCGTGTTGTTTTAACTGTATCTTCTTATTGTTATTGAGGACTGCAATTAATCAGTAGAAGGCTATTAAGACTCAGTGGTTGGGTGGATAACGTGATGATGTTTGAAGCGAACGGTATTGGGTTCGAGTCCCGGAGTGTACATCAACTCTGAGATGCAAGTACATCCAGCTGACGAGTCATAAACAGGACGAAACGCGAGTCATGGATTTCACTGCTAGCCACTATCAATCTTTATTTCACGTATTATTTTGTAACTAGAGAACTTTTATATAATTTGAGTTCGAAATTTTAAACACCATGTATAAATAATTTACTTCGGCTAACTGTTGAGATTTAGAACACGTCAGAAGTAGTCAGTAAGTAAAATGTGGATTTATTAACAAACCCACACACTACTGAGAAGTCTTATACTAAGATAAAACGGCTGTCCAGTGTTTCCAGGTTTTCCATGGTGATCTAATCTCAATTGACTCACGAATTCAACTATAAAATCTGTATTTCTTACCAGTTTTTTTACGTATTGTTTATATACTCATTTTCACTTCTCTCTTTTTACAATACTGTCACTTCAACTTGTGATTTATATTTTTCTGGCACCTTGATGTACTGACACTTTTATATGTTATGATAACGTATATAATTGTAAACTTATTAACATGCAAACTGCAGTTGTCTTAGACATATTTTAAATGACATCTTAATCTAGTTTAACACACTAAATAATATAAATAAATAAATCTCACCAGGTGAAAGTAAGTCCTGTGCTACCAGGCCCAGCAGTCTTTATAATCCTTACAATAGCTGAACGGGTAGCTGTCGGATTTGTTTGTATGATTGTTGAAAATACAGTCGAAAAGATTGTAATTGATGCGAAGAAGCTAATAGTAGGAAAAAGTAAATTTAAAAAAAGCTATTTTGATGAATTGGGGACTGTGGATATAATAAAAGAATGTCGTAAACATCTGGGGGTTACATAAGATTTAGCTTAGAAACTACCTTTTAATGACGTATATCAAAATAGAGTTTATATTATTTAATTATCTCAGAGTAAGTAGTATTATAATAAAAAGAAGCTACACTTTGATTACTTTCAGGACTAGCAAATTATAAACAGTTTTTGATAATCACTACTATAATACATCAGTCATTATTTGTTTCGTTTCTTACTAAATGTTCTATCATTACAAATCTTGACAAATAAAAAATTCAAACAAACCAACTTTTAGTAATCCGTTTACCTAACGACATTGTTGACAATAGGAATAAGGAAACTATACGAAACTATCCTTGAGTCCCGTGACATAAAAGTAGAGTAAGTTGCCAGAACAGCCATACCAGCGTTGGTATCGAATGCATTTTGACCGGCCGCTGCGATCCACATACTGGGGTCTAAAAAGCTTTCTGAAATGAGAAAAATATATCATACTTAGTTTTATGATATGATATTACCTTCGTACGTCTGACAGTTATATGTGTTCTCGGCATTTTAGTGAAACATACCATTCTCGTCCCCAGTGTCATCAGTGAACAATGTGGATTAGGGTAAATGATGTAAGTCACCTGGTTCACCCCAAAACCTTAACAAATCACTTGCAAACTGAAGGTTATTTATTTGTATTCTACTGAAAGATTATTTTCTACTTGATTTCACCTGGTCAATGAATAGAATAAAGATTTGTTTATTCATTCACATGTGCATTTCATTTTCAGTCATCGAATAAATAAAGTTGATGTTCGAAATATGTTTCAAAGCGAATGCTAGTGACAAGCAGCTAAAAGTACATAATATTTTGTCAGTGTGTACACTTCGAAATATTATTAACATCTGTTGCATTATGCGACTAAAAATATTGGCTAGATGTCATTGGATTTTATAGTCTGAAACTAAGCCTATAATTAAGATATATGTTTATATAATAGTTGGATTCATGAGTCAGTTGAAGCTAGACCAATATGGAAGACTAGGAAGCACTGGGCTGCCGTTTCGTCCTAGTATGGAACTCCTCAGCAGTAGGCATCCATGATCCCGCTCGCGGGATTCGAACTCAAGACCTAGCGGTTCTATCGAACGGTGGTGGATTGGTTGAAGTTAGACATTAGCATCGTTGGTTGCCGGCCGGCTCAGTGGTCCACAGGTTAAGCGTTCGCGCGAGTAACCGAAGGTCCAGGGTTTGAATCTCGCTAGCGGGATCGCGGGTACGCACTGCTGAGAAGTCACATACTGGGACGAAACGACCAATCAGTGCTTCCGGATTTTTCATGGTGGTCTAGCTTTAATTGACTCATGAATTCGACTTCTAATCTCCACAAAACCCCTTTCCGATAAGATATGTTTATAACTATTTGGCTGTGTGATGAGATTAACACACTTAGGAGTTTTACTGATTCACTCTTAAACTTCAAGACCACCAAAAATATAATAAGTGTGATTGATAATAGTTATAAAAATAATGCTTATTACAATAGTTTGGATGAATTACTGACATAAACGGATAATATTCCTAAACCTTATCGTTATTTTCTTACATTTTAGGATATTGTAAAAAAAAGTTTAAATCCCATATCAAGTAAAATTACTCACTCCATGATGGTGTGAAAAGAAACACAATGCCAACTTCAGCATATTGTCTTGTTAATGACCAACCAAATGTAAAAACCACAATCGACAAAAGCAATGGAACTAGAACCATATTGACTCTTTCAATCCATTTGATTCCACCTAATAAACAAATACCACTGAGTGTAACCGCTAGAATTTGAGTGAATACTGGCCAGTATGAATGCTAAATCGTATGAAATAATACAATTCATATTAAACAAATAAATATTTATTTGAACAAATTGAAATATTACTAGACATATGTAATTAGAGTGGTTAGTTTTGATAATGTTAAAGTCTTTTAGCTAGATAGTTGAGGTTTTCTAGACAACAAGATCAATCTAGTTTTCTGCTTTTTCTAAAGATTAATGAATGGCATAAGAAATATCTGTAAAACTATTGTAGACTTTGTAAGTGAACACTAGTAATTCAATAAGTTCTCTTTAATTTAGTAGTTAATAACATATTTAATATTTAGTAATCATAATGTTGACACAGTTCGTAAGAGTTAACTTCTAAAACTTGAATATAATCAACTGTAAACGTTTATTCCAAAATTTGATTTCATAGCAATAGTGGAGTATATATTCCTCTTCTTTGTTTCCCATTTTTAAACACTGTACACGTTTGTTCTATAGAATATATTGCTTTTGTGATTGGTATATAAAGGAAATAAAATCCTTAACATCTGTGTATGATCAGACCAAATGCTTCTATGAATGATGTAATACATTTTATTAAAATCCATTTGGAAAGTAAGTTTATCAGATATTTTTAAGGTGTAATGTATCTGTAAAATGAACATCTTTAAACGATCTTAAATTTTTACATTCTTATTGAATAGATTTACATTAGGTATACGTCCAATGATTAGGATGGTATTTTATTGACTAGATTTCATGGTACATTGTAGTAGTATTTTAGCAGTTAGAAAATTTAAGTTTCATCTATTTGGTAATAACTTCAAAACTCCATATTACTATCTCATCTAAGATAGCCATGTGGTCTAACCTGTCTACATATATTAGTGTTATATCAATCCGACTACAAAAAATTGTACTTGGTAAATGAATTAAACTGATTCATTGTAAGTTTTTATTCCATATAAAGTGTAATTTATAATTCATTAAAATCGTCAAAGTTTCATTTATGTTTTCTTGTCTGTTTAGTAGTTACATAATAGTGTTATTACTGTTATTAAAATATGTACCTGTGTGTAGTTGGTGAAAATTTCTAAACCAGCCTGTTCAGTAGTTGGTAGTGACGGAAGAGTACACGATAAGTAAAGGTAGTATAAACACCATCCAAGTATAACTGGATAATAACCACTAAATAGGAAAAAAATATATAATAAAATGTCATCATATTGATAAATGAGATATGGCTCAGTAGTGTACAGTTAATTCGAATTCAACTGAACTGTAAACAATGAGAACAGTATATATTGAAATATTATAAATAATAATGTGTCAAATCATATATCGCATATATGTAAAGATGTTGAAATCAGTATTTCAAAGAGTAAAATGATTCCTCATGATACTTGATTTATAGATTGTAAGGAATCATAACAGCTGTAATCTCAAGGTTTTCTCACACATAACATGGAACTACACTATGAAATTGTTCATTCGGACAGGCAAACAAATTAACTGTTAATATTTCGGTTTTAAAAAAATAATGACAACAAATGATCTTAAGACAGTTGTCATGTTTCATACTAAGACTTCTCAATGGTTAGTCACCTTGACTCATCACATAGTCTAAATAAAGCCCCCAAATGCCCTGGTACACCCGAGATTGGGGAGAGTCCGCTCTCTCTCTCGAAATGCTCTCACATGGCCACGCGTATATAGACTCTACCAGGAAAGTCCTACTCACTGTTTTCTCGTGTAGGGTTGTTGTTTACGACCTTTAAATCGCAAGATGTCTTACATCATTTAAATCGGCTGCTTGTTGATATTTGCCTGCAAATTCCGATTTTCATTTGAAAGAAACAAATGAGTTTTAAAGATGTGAATCAATATGATTCAGCTCCCCAATGATAGACTATCACTTGACCTTTTAAGGCTACGATAACCACTTAGTTTATATGACGTCATTGATAAACTTCATTACCGCGTCCCAATACATTAGAAGCTCTAGTTGAGGCCAGACATCTTATTAATGATAATCTACTCTCCAACATAACAAATGTACATAGTTATAAACTAAATTCTACTAAAACCTTCGTAACAGCCTCTATGTAAATAATTAGAGTAACCATAAACAATTTCTATTTCCTTGATAATGAACAAAAAATCAAAATAATTATCATAATGAATAACCATAAATCTTTCAAAACGTTCATGATAGAAAAAAGCTCTGTTAAAAACAATAATCTAACCTTACAAAGAAAACTACTGCAACCATCCATCCTCCTAACCAGAAAAATTTTTGTCCAAAAAATTTGCAGAATGCTAATGTAACAGAGTTTCTAGTAAATCTACCAATTGAATATTCGACTATTATAATTGGTATGGACCATAAAAATAGGATAATAAGCCATACTATATAAAATGTTAATGCACCTAAAAAATATTGTAATGAAAAAGAAAAGTTCTTCATATACAATCATTCTATTGTACATAAAAATTAAGGATTTATTAACTTCCTTATTAATATCATATAAAGAATTAGATGCAATTCAACTTACAAGTAATATTTATTGCTTTAGTAACTAAAGTAATTAAGAATCAACTTTTTTACATTGCAGTTCTTAATACATCACATAAAAATATATTGCAAATGTTTTAATTACTTACAGCAATCAAGAATAGTTGTTTCAACTCCATTTATAATGATTTGGTTTGAGTTGTAAATGTCTATCTAACTCTTAAATAATCAGAAAGGGGTTTGGTGGATATTATAGTAATTTAATAGTTGAATTCATGAGTCAATTAAAGTTAGGCCACCATAGAAAACCTGGAAGCACTGGATGGCCGTTTCGTCCCAGGATGGGACTCCTCAGCATTGCATATCCCGATTCGAACCAGTGACCTATAGGTCTTGAAAGCGAACGATTAACATTTAGACCACTGAACCGGCCGGCATTCAACGGTGTTAATGTCTAACTTCAACCAATCCACGAAATCGGGCCACCGTCCAGTGAGGTGCTATTTCAGGTTTTCCATGGTGATCTAGATTCAAATGACTTATGAATTCAACTCTTAAATAATCAATGGAAAAATGATATAGTTTAATGGAGTATGCTTATTTTAATCTGTGAAATCCTTTGTACAAAAAAAAGTTTTTCAAAGCAATTGACTAAAAATAAATTAACCATCAATCTTGTATATCTCAGAAAAATAACTTGAATATTTACTCATGAAATGAATGATTAATTGAAATAAACTACTCTTTTGTAAAATCTGTTAATAACTTTGATGGAGTTTTGTTCTCTGAGCTGGATGGTTTGGTCGTGGAGCTTTCATCGTTCTTCAGATAGACGTTTGTGCTGATGATATCGTTCAGAAGAACGATGAAAGCTCCACGACCAAACCATCCGGCTCAGAGAACAAAACTCCATCAAAATCATCCACCTGAGCTACAAATCTTCTCCACCATCTGTTAATAATTACCAGGAGTTATAATTATTTTTAATCATTTTATTAAAGAAATATTCATACATTTATCAACTAAGAAGATGATATTTATTTTGTAAACATTTTATTTATTCTAAATTGTACTTCTTGACATCATTACATCCAAGAAGTGAATATCGATTTGACGTCTGAAAGTTTTCGATTGATGAATATCCGTGATTATGACAACTCAATCTACTTTATAAAGTAATAAATTGATTGATATGAATCTATTGACCATTTTCTCCACTTAATGTATTCTCAATTCTCGAATGAATATACTTACGATAGTGGAAATATTGGTCAAGTTATTAAAAGAATGGATATTATTCATAAAAAAAAGGTTTTATACAAAATATTAAGTTAAAACCATATAAATTTCTTTTTGTTTTCTAGGCAATTAACCATTAAGAATGTAAGCAACCATTTCAAACAAACTACTTGCTATCCATTTCTTATCATTGTAACGCTTATGAATGTAGAAGTTAAAATATCGATGAATGTATAAGAAAATTTTGCAAACAATCAGTGTATTGTTGATGTTTTACTACTGTGATTCCTGTTATGATTGATCTTTAGATTTCACATCATCCTACTTTGAATTCGAAAAGTTTATCTTGAAACTAACTACCAGTAAAAATATTATTATATCTATTTTAAAATATATAGTAATCTAATCCTTACATATAATCACATCTATGTGACAAAGTTGATCTGTACCCTGTTGATCTTAATGCTTCTTATATTGACTTATGGATTGTATAAAATTGATTAGTTCAAATAAACTATTTTTCTTATTTATATTTATATTTGCATGTAATTAGTACATTGAAACAAGAATCTGAAAAGATTAAAAATGTTACTAATCAAGTTAACACATCAATAAAAAAGCACGTGGTTTAAGAATTACACAAAAGTTACATTCACTTGAAGAATTTAGACAATTACGAGATGCTCGTCGAGCTTAGGTCGATTTGTAAATTTGATTTTACTGAAAACATTCTAATAAATTCATACAGTCATTTGCTGCCTTTCACAATCTTAAAGCATATATATATATATATATATATTTACGTTATACAATGATTCATTACATGATTGAATTCATGACAGAGTAAAACAAACAAAAATGTTCAGGTTACAAAAAACCTTGCTATCTAATGGATTAGGGTAGATTTCAAGAATTTTTAAGCTTTTATTGAATAATAACGAATGCACAACATCTTTACGGTCCGATTCACTTCAGTTTAGCCAAAGATTTATAGAGAAAATTATTTACAGAATATATTTGTCATCAAAGTACCAAAGGCAGGCTATATACCTTATTTTTTAATATTTTACTTTGGTAAGGTCAATAAGAAATCTTCGTCTACGAACTCCAACTGTATAATATTTACTTCATTGCACTACAAAATCTTGAACCAGTTGAATTAAACATATAGTACAAATGTTACAAAGGATTGTATGTTCTTAATAATACTAAATAGTTATATAACTTGAGAAATCCGATATTGGTGTCATTTATTTAAATCAATATAACATAGAATATAAAACTTTCATAAAGTATACATACCGGTAGAATAACTATGTGATGCCAAAATACGAGGAAATCTCCAAATATTTCCTGTTCCTACTGCACTACCAAGACAGGAAATAATTCCACCTAATGCAGACTGAAACATAGACTTCTCTGCAGTAACTCGTAGTTTGACATGAGCCACATTTGTTTCACAGGACACCTTTTGTTCAAACTATAATGATTAATAAATTATGTAAGATAAATACACTTTATTGTTTTACATATGATCAAATGTTTAAATCAATATCTTTGTGATGACAATCTAATTAAAAATATTGTAAATGAAACATACATATTAACTAGATTTTTGCTGTTTTCTGAGTCAAAACTGTAGAATGCATAGAATAGTTAGTTATACAACATTTCATGAATAAATGGTACATATTAAATGAAAATTCCACGTTCGTTAAGCATATGAAATTCTGTTTGACTATAAAAGAAATTTTAGATAATTTCTTCAAAAATTGTGTCATAGACACTGCAAATACACAGATTAGAATAATTTTTAGAGAAGAAACAGTCACATCTAGTTACGATAAAGCAATCAATTCAGCTTCTTTATAAGCAAAGATGGACAATCGCTTGCAGTGGAATCTAAGACGCGTTTTTCGTCCTATATGGGAATCGTCAGCTGGAGGCATCTGACTCCCAGAGTTGATGCTCACTCTAGGACTCACGTTATCTATTTTACTACTGAGTCCTGATAGCCACTTGTTTGTGCAACGGGGTGAAGTGTAAATTCACTTGATATTGTTTACTTGGATCTTTCCATTGACGTTTAGGACTGTAATTGATCAATCTCTGGTGCTGGGTTTGAGTTCAATAGTGAACACTAACTCTGAGATTCAGCTGACAAGTCCCAAATAAGATGAAACGCGCGTCCTGGATTTCCCTGCTAGCCACTATCTATCATTGCTTATAATGCTTGTGAATCAAGCCAACATCGAGGCAATACTCATAATATACACATATGCCAATAACAAACTGATCGATTGCAATCTTAAACATCAATGGGAATATTCAAGTACACAACAAGTGAATTCCAGCTTTTTTGTTAAATGTGTTTTGAAGAAATTTTGTATTCACCTTTTCGCATTTTGTTCGCACACAATCATTAATTTGTTCAGATATTTGAAAAACATTTTTGTTGCTGGTCAAATTAAATTATTTTACACATTTAAGAATATTAGTAAATGTAAATCTCCAGTTAAATTCATGAGTCAATTGAAGCTAGACCACGATGGAATACCTGGAAGCACCAAACACCCGTTTGGTCCTAGTTTGGGACTCCTCAGCATTGCTCAACAACTCATGAATTTAATTGTAAAATTACTAAAATCTTCATCACACTCCCTCTGATAAAATGCAAATTTATTTAAAATATCATAAAATATTTACAGAAAATAATTTACAATAGTTTATCTTTATATCTTACCTCATAACTATTTTCACTAATGCTTTCATTATCTATATTTTGATTAAGTACATTTAACCGGTCTATGATTGTTAACGGTTTTTCCATTGAGAAATGAATGGAATTTACAATTAAAATGTAGTTGACTTTTATAAAATATGTTAACCAATGATTTATATACTAAATATTTTATTGGTTCATTAAAAATTTTGTGAATTTTTTCTCAAAATAAATACTTGTGAAACTACCGATTGTTAAAGTTACACATAAGAATCACATTACTGAACTTAATCATAGTAACAAGTAGTTTACGCCTGTTACTCCTAGTAGAGGAACATAGGCCGCCAAACAGCACTCACCATCCAACCCTGTCCTAACCAGTTCTTTACAGCTCTTTCCAGTTGTCATTCATCCTTTTCATATCCGCTTCCATTTCCCGACGTAATTTGTCCCTTCTTCTTCCTCTTCTTCTTTTCCACTTCGCTTCAGAATTCCTGGTTGGGGCTTGCCTCGTGATGCAGTTTGGTGATTTCCGTAATGTATATCCTATCCACTTCCAACGTTTTTTCCAAATTTCGTCTTCAGCTGGAAGCTGGTTTGTCCTCTCCAACAGAATGCTGTTGCTGATGGCATCCGGTCAATGGATGTTGAGTATCTTGCGTAGACAGCCATATATAAATACTTGCACCTTCTTGATGATGGTTGTAGTGGTTCTCCAAGTTTCAGCTCCGTACAGTAGAACTGACTGTGTTGACGTTCGTGTTGAAGATTGTGACTTTGATATTGGTTGATGGTTGTTCTGAGTTCCATATAATTTTCGAATATAGGAATGCTGTCCTTGTTTTGCCAATCCTCGCCTTTGCGTCTGCATCCTATCCTTCTTGTTCACCGTTGATGCTGTCCAAGTACGCGAAGGATTCCAGGTTTTGTAGAGCTTCTCTATCAAGCGTGATTGAGTTGGCATTCTGCGTGCAGTATTTGAGAATCTTGCTTTTTCGCTTGTGTATGTTGAAGCTTACTGATGCAGAGGCTGGTGCTACACTAGTTGTCTTCGCTGCATTTGTTCGTGTGTATGGGATAGGAGGGCTATGTCGTCTCTAAATTCTAAATAGTCTAATTGATGTTTACCTATCCATTGTATTCTGTGCTTTTCCTCAGATATCGAGGTTTTCATAATGCAGTCAACCACCAGAAGAAAGAGGAAGGGAGAGAGTAGATAGCTATTTAATAACCACAGCAACAATTTTTATAGGTTCGTGGTACTTAATTATAATGTAAATAATTTTGTTGCATCATCTTTATGCCTTAATCTCAGTCAGTCACTCGGTTACGCTGAATGTGGAAGTTTTCATAAATGTGTATTAATCTTAATTTGCAGAACATTTATCTACTTAATCAAAGGATATTAGTAAGATGAAAATTAGAGGAGTGGAGATAAAAAAACAACTGGTAACGGAAAATGTAACATAATAGAAATAGTTTTAAAGTGACATAGTTGATTGCAGAATGAAACAATCTGTAATTAAAAATGAAGGTTAGAGATTAAGCCGAATTAAAAGTATTTAATTTGAGAAATTTTATTCAAATTTTATCGAGTTAAGCTTTTGTTAAATGGAGAATATCCTTTTCATTTACCATGGTCATAAAAGAAAACTAGAAGCAGGAAATTAACATAATGAACTGATATTATGTTGAATTAATCATTTGTAAAGTATTCTTACGTTAGTATGTTGAACTGTTGTTCTCTGTTCTATCTAATTCACATCCAGTATACAAGTAGATTCTTTCCTTTCAGTTGTGACTTGTTTTAATGGTAAAAATGGCGGAAAACGTTTAACAGCTAATTTTATTTTTAAAATTTGAAATCGAGAAAGTTACTTCTATCATGTCTCGTAACTCTGATATATATATCTTGAAACTGCTCGTAACTCTCAGCTAATAATGAATTTACTTTAGAAGTTGGTTATACCTTGAAAACCGTGGAAATCACCGCTTAAATAATTAGCATTTGGTATTATTCTGTGGAAACAACTAAATTTTGTCTGAGGAATCTTAAAACATGTCCGCTCTAATAATTATGTTCTCTTTGTTGACTACTTTTAAGACGGATTTGAGGAGATCTAATGTGTAGCCGTGACGAGTAACATGTGGATCATACCAGAACTGCAAAGTTTGGGATCTGTGGAACTTATTTACAGTTCTTTTGGAGTATGTACCGTGAGACCTAAAGGCTCAGGGTTCTATGCCCGATAATGTCATTTATTTTATGTTTATTTATTTAAACACATAAATATTGTTATAAGGAGGCACCAAATGGATATGCCCCACATGGATCATTCAATTTGTGTGGGGGATGAGATACTGCCTAGGTGCTCAAACCGAAGCAGGTGGTTTTGTTAGGGGGCCACACCCGGAGCCTTCGACCTGAAGGTCTAGTACACAAAGTGGTGGAGCAACATTAAGAGATGTAGTCACACGGTAGCCGGTGACCAAAGATTGGTTCATACACCATTTGCTCCTTTAGGATCCATTGGTTTGGAATCAGGGTTTTTCAACTCCCGTAGGTGGACTCTCCATGTTCACCAACCCGGGTAGAGCGTCGGACATTCGCTTTTGGTCCTCTCAATTTAGTAAACAACAACCCTCCACGAGAATGCAGTGAGTAGGACTTCTCTGGCAGTGATTGTATGCACGTGGCCATGTGGGAGCATTTGGAAAGAGGGCTAGCTGACTCTCCCCACCCTCGGCCGTAACAGAGCATTTGAGGGCGAAAATCATGTCATGTGTATATGACTTTAGAGTTGTGAACTAGGCTGAGACAGATGTTCATTATTCTGTGATTCTTAAAGGTTCTTCAGTTGATGTTAGTCTGGGTGGTAAACAGACAGTAAACCATAAAGAATAATTTAGCTGAAACAAGTTTATAATGTACTAATTTATGAAGAAGGTTTATGAGAAAAATCAGACGAACTGCTGAATCAACTAGCTATCAACAAAATGGTTGAAATTTGTGCTAGTCGATAACGATAAAACAGTACCTTTGATTTGCATCATTTGCCAAATCTACTTAATAAAAATAGATAAATGAGGTCCATTTTATAGTATTAAATGTTTAAACGATTTACCGAAGTGGGGTTGCTTTAAAAATTTAGTAAATATTACTTAGTGAATAGATAACAACCAAAAAGACTTTATTGATGAAAGCATTTATCGATTTTTATATGCATTATTGTTTCAATACTGTCATATATTTATGAAGTACCATTTAGTGAAGTGTTATGAAATTGTTTAGATAATTTAGATTTTTTTAAATACATGTAGGGTTTCTACTATGTTTTCAAATAAATTCTAAGAAATGATCACTCCTTTTCTCATTTTACATATATGCAGTTGAAATTTGTCCTATATAAAGTTATCCGTATTGTTTCGAGAAGGCATTCAAAGCTTATTAAAATTTGTCATAAATTGATGAATAAGAATTCTTCTAACATATGGTAGTCAATGTCACAATTTCCGTTAAAGTTGTATTAGTAAAATACATTAATATGTTGTTATCAGAATGATATTTGACAAGACAAATATTAATATTAAATCATCATAAACCTTCATTTATTTAGTGACTTAGCAAACAAAAGGTAATTTTTATAATAATTCAAGTAAAACTCTCGTAAAGTCACAGAATAAAGTCTAGTGTTTGTAGCCAACAATTCAGATATTTTTTAATGAAATACTCATAAAGTTTGTGTACGATTTTATTTTAGCTGTATAGAAAAGTGGCTGTGAAATGAAAGTTTACGTCTAGTCACAAGACTTATTATTATTACTATTAGTGGCTTTATTCAATAGTATACTTTTGGTACAATATAAAATTCTCAGAACAAGGTATGTCAACAACTTTCTTTCACAAAAAAAAGACAGAAAACAACAAAAAAAAGAAGAATATGTAAAAAATATCTGAATCTGTACAACTTTTCAACTTAGAGACATTAAGAACATAGGTTATTAACTAGGTTAACTATAACAACCTGTTCTTCACAGAGTATATTTGCTAGGTAAGGTATTATAGAACTTTTATACCTTTGTTTGCGCGTATGGATTTTAATGTATTTACGTCTCGTTCTACTAGACGATATACAAGGAGAAAGATATGAATGAAGGGAATATCTAGTATCTGATAAGATAACACCTGTCAAGAGTTTGCATGACTTTAGATGTCGATGTACAACCATACTCAAAAGATTCACCACAAATCTTGCTAACTACCTTCAGCACTCTCTTCAACACAGCAAAGTCTTTTCTCAGAAGCCCGGGAAAGCATAATGGGGAACAGCAAAGAATAATAGGTAATATGCACGAATTGACAAATATTTCTGAGTTCTCACGATAGTTATTCAATTGACTTGTTTCAAAATTGGAAATTAGCATTCTTCTAACTGGTATACAAACTTTAATTATATTCTCAAGAATTTATACCCTCATAGGGAAAAGTGTCATTAGTAAAAATTATCCCTGAATTCTAATGTGACAATTATGGCACTTAGATGATGTACTGTTTTTGCAGTTATATATTATATTAATGTGGTCACAAGTGTCTATTTTGGTCAGTATTTACCATATATCAGTAAATGTTTATATAATTCCTACTGTAGTAAACGAAAAAACAAGTGGGGACATTCGGATGTATTTGATTGCAAAATTACAGAACATCATAGTAAAATGTGAGAACCATACTGTAAATACCTAATTGGCGAAATTTCAATCAGTTGTCTGAAACTTGACTGCTTCTTTTGCAAATGTCAGTCAACCATTCTCACTGTTCCTTCATTTCCACAGCAAGTGTTCGCTATTTACGTTTTCTTTTCTTCAATCTGCTTAACCTTCTGCTGCCAGGTGTTCCACTTTCTATTAATGATACATACTACTTACATCTGTCGACATCAGTAGCACACACCATATTACTATTCAACAAAATTTGCTGAGAATAATTTTTTAAAGCAACTTTATAACCTTGGACGGTATTTTACCACAAGGACTTTGCATTACGGATTGACTTTAGGTAGATGATAATTAAAAGAACTAATAAGCAGTGGTAATCTGTTTCGTTCTCCAGAATCTATCCC